GAGGCCAGGTGCTAGGCAAGCTATGGTGGCTAACCCCTTTAATCTACCACAAGTTTGAGTCAGGTCTATATAGTGAGTGCTCCTCTAAAAAACTGAAGAGAAAAACAAAACAAAACAGGGCTGGAAACATGGTTCAGTGGTTAAGAGCACTGTCTGCTCTTCCAGAGGTCTTGAATTCAATTCTCAGCAAACACAAGGTGGCTCACTCCATCCAGACTGGAATCTGGTACCTTCTTCTTATATGCAAGTGACCTACAGATAGAGCACTCATATATGTCAAATAAATAATTCTTTTAAAAAAAATCAAAACAAATCAAAATAGAAAAAATAAAATAAAAAGAGGGGCATGGTGGAACACACCTGTAATCCCAGCACTTGGGAGGTGGGGAGGAGGACCAGGAGGCATTCAAAGAGCCTCACATACATAGTTAAAGATAAACCAGCATTCATGGTAGCCTGTCTGAAAACAAAAACAGCTGAAAGTCAAAATAGAAACCTGATAAGGTTTATATAACATGGAATACAACTTTCCATTTACTCTGAAGTTTCTTTTTATAGAAATTCTTTCACGCAGATATAATTTAAAATATTGTGGCGGGTGGTGGTGGTGGTGCATGTCTTCAGCACTCCCCGGTAGAGGGGAGGCTGGAGGTGGTGGATCTGTGAGTTCAAGGCCAGCCTGCTCAAGAGAGTGATTCCAGGGCAGCCAGGGCTACACACAGAGAAACTCTGTCTTGACATCCCCTAAATAAACTAACTAATAAACAAACAAACAAATAAAATATTCTGTACCTGGCTTTTAGTCAAATCAATGACTATGTAAAGGATTTTAGATTTTTGTTGTTACAAAATGGTTGCTAAAGACGTTTTCTGGGTCAGATTTTCTCTTAACATTTTTTTTTTTTAATTTTTTCATGTGTATGTGTATGAATGCATTTGTGCCACAACATGCTTGTGGAGTCAGAAGAACTTGCAAGAGTCAGTTCTCTTCTACCATGCTGGTTCCAGGGATCAAATTCTGGTCATCATTTCTTTAATTTTTTTACATCTCACAGGCTTCTGGGTCAGATTTCCTTCAACTGGGTCCCCAGGTTCTTCCTTTCTCATCCCCTACCCCCACATTTTGCATTTTGAGACTTCTATCAAAATTCTTAAGTTTTATGTTTCCAATTTCATCGGTTACCTGAAATCTGTATTTTTCAACTTATTAAAAACTTTGCTGACAGTAATAATACACAGCCATATTTCCTTTCAATAACAAATATATTTATTATTTTATGAGTGTATGTGTATGCCTTAAGAGCATGTACATTTCACTACCTATTATAGATGACCTCAGAGGCCAGAAGAGGGCGTCGGATCTCTGAGAACTAGAGTTACAGGTGGTTATAAGCTGTTGGCTACAGGAGCTGGGAGCCAAACTTAGGTCCTGAAATCTTACCTTAGGTCCTCTGAAAAGAGTGCTCTTAACTGAAAGCCATCTTCAGCTATACTTTTTCCTGTGTAAGACAGTTTAAATAGGTAGCCCTGGCTAGCCTGAAGCTGAGATCTGCCTGGTTCTGCTCCTACGATTGGAAAGCCTGTGCCACCACATCCTGCCACAACCATATTTTCTTCTTAAACAGTTTATGTATTTCTAGAGCACTGATTGGTGTTTTGCCTGCATGTATGTCTGTCAGATCCTCTGGAATTGGAATTACAGATAGTTGTGAGCTGCCACATGGGTGGAAGAGCAGCCAGTGCTCTTAACTACTGAGCCATCTTTCCAGTCCCCATATTTTCTTAAAGACTGAAATAAACAAAAAATCCCTCAAACCTTATTGTAGTAAAATATGTGTAACACAAAAACATTTAAATAATATTCAGTAGCATTAAGCGCATTGTTTGCCTCTTTTCTCTTTGTTTTAAAGGACAGCATGTCTCTCTACATAGCCTTGGTTGTTGCAGAATTCACTATGTGGACTAGGCCAGCCTCCCACTCACAGAGATCCACGTGTCTCTGCCTCCCAAGTGCTGCCATGTAGCACTATGCCTAGCTCAAAATATTTTTTGATTTGAGGATTTGTATTTGTATCATTATTCCAGGGGCTGAAGAATGGCTCAGTAGTAACGCCTGCTTGCTGTTCTTCCAGAGAACCCAGGTGTGGCTCCTAACGCTCACGTGCAGTGGCTCGCAGCCACTTGTGGTTCCAACTTCAGGGGGTCTGATCCTCTCTCTAGATCACACACACACACACACACACACACTCCCCAAATAGTACACATTAGTAATACAAACACTTGGAAGGTTTGGGCAGGAGGATCAGAAGTTCAAGGCCATCCTTGTACATAGGATGTTGGAGGCCAGAATGAAACAAATGGGATCCCGTGTGAAAATAATCAAACAAAAAGAATCATTATTCTAGGACCTAGAGAGATGGCTCGGCAGTTAGTGCTTATTGCTTTGGTAGATGACCCAGATTTCAATCCCCAGGACCCACATCTGCAATCCAGTTCTAGAGGATGGATGCCGTCTTGCCTCCCAGGGTACCTGCACACATGCAGGTACACATAATAAACTCAGGCAGGCACATACACACACATAGAGTAAAAAAAAAATCCTAAGAAAAAAAACATCATTATTCAGACAACAGTAAAATGGTCAGGTGGTAGAGGTGTTGATAGAGGAAGCCTGGCCACTTGAGTCCACTCCCTGGAGGACACAAAAACAGTGAGAGAAAAGCTACTCAACAACACTATCTTCTGATGTGCAAGCAAACAGCACAAACATCTGCACACACACATACACACAAAACGCCATTCTAGGTAATACATTTCAGGTAAGTTTTTTTCCTCTTGAAAAATCAGCGTCTTTGAAACAGGAAATGACACAGGCCATGGCTGCTTTCCCTCTTTTTACCTGGGAATGTATAACAAAATGTAATGTTTATCTGTGAAGCCAAGTTCCTGGCGTAATTATTTGCCCATTAAAAAAAAATCTTCCTTGGGGGCTGGACAGTTAGCTCAGGAGCTAAGAACACTGACTGCTTTTCCAGAGGTCCTGAGTTTGATTCCCAGCAACCACATGAAATATGATCCGATGCCCCCCCCTTCTGGCCTGCAGATGTACATGCAGACAGACAGCTCACATAAATAAATAAATAAATAAATAAATAAATAGATAAATCTTTAAAAAAATCTTCCTTTAGTCACACATTCTCTTATTTTATGTTATTTAGAATATGTGTTGCTTTAGTTTTAGGAAGTAGATATTTTGGAAGCTTTAAATACAGCACTTTGACATAAAGTAATTTTTGACATAAAGTAATAAACTGTAGGCTAAATATAGCTGGATTCAATATAAATTATAAGAGCATCTTTTTTCGATAACAATAAAGATTTGGTTATTTGAAACAATCTCACTATATAGCCCTCACTGGTCTGAAGTCAAGAGTTTTTCCTGCCTCTGCCCCTGCCTGCTGGGATTAAAGAAGTGTGCTACCTGCCAGAACAAGAACCAACTTTTCTTTTCTTTCTCTCCCTTCCTCCCCTCCTTCCCTCCCTCCTTCGTTCCTTCGTTCCTTCCTTCCTTGTGTTTTGACACAGGGTTTCTCCGTGTAGCCTTGGCTGCCCTGGAGCTCACCCTGTAGACCAGGCTGGTCTCCAACTCACAGAGATTATTCGCCTGCCTCTACCTCCCGAGTGCTGGCAGTAAAGGTGTGGGCTGCCACCGCCCCGCAAGAAGGAATGTTCTAAAGTACATAGGTGGTGGCAGAGAACACTAACCACTTCCCTGTGAGTTAGCCATGCTGTAGATATCACCCCACTTTACCGAAGTTCAAAGGAATGAAAGTTCAAGTTATAAAGTAACTAAGGGTAGGACTCCAGTCTGGCTCCATCTCCTAGCATACCGTTTGTTTCCCAAGCTGCAAGTTCTATTTTACATTGTTGCCCGTTTTCCCTTTCTAGGATTCTTTCTGGGAGAATGCCACATCTTACCCCTCAATGGAGTAGAACTCTGCTTCCTAACAAACTTACTGCTGTTCCAGCATCTACCAGCTCTCCAAGCAGAATCTTAGCTCACTCTCTAGATTTTGGCCACCTCAGAGCCTGGGCTGGGTCCAGAGGCCTCACATCTCAGTCCTCCAGGAGAGCACGGTTCCTCAGATTTTGCCATCCAGCAGAGACAATTTCTCACTAGTGACCACAGAGTCCCTCGGGCCCTTGTCCCCTGGCAGAGCTCTGGGACTCTGCTGAGATTTCTGTGCCTCAGTGTTTTGTAACAGTTTACACAGGGATCTTCCCACAAGGAAGATCTTTAAACTGGAAACGCAAAACAACTCAAAACAGCTTCAGGAAGTCCCTGAAACCGACCAGATTCATTAGGTCCCTCCCTGTCAGAGTAAAAAAAAAAAGAGAGAGAGAGAGAGAGAGAAAGTCCCTCTTAGACCAAAGGAAACTAAGCTTCGAACAAGCTTCTCAGACAACCTGAGCCACCTGGAAGAGGTTCAGACCAGAGTCACTTGGAAAGGACACTCTCTGACCCATTGAGTTACCTGCAGGCTGTGCAGTACGTTCAAAGTTCCCTGCTCTTATGATCTGGGGTGGGTCCTGGTGAGGCAGCTGTGTCTGAGTCATTCCTGCTTCTGTAAGTAACCCCTCACTCACACTCCGGTAAAAATAAAACTTACGGGTTCACCAAGTTGGACTCTGGTGTTACCTGTTCTTCGGTCTGGCGGTGGGAGCCCTTTCTGGGGTGGGTAGTGTCTCCCCAGGAAAGGTCTGGTCACACAACACTCAGTAGAGGGCAACAACGCTCAGCCAACTTTCTGAGAGACTTCTCTCCAGGGTCCCGCGCCAAGCCACAACCACACCTTTGCCACGTTTCTTCTTCCTAGCCTCTCCCGACAGTCGCGCTCCCACCCTCCAATCTCTTTCCGAGTCCTAGTGAATCTCTTCCTCCTCTCCCTCCCTCTCCCGGTCGTCTCCGTTCCGTTCCGGGATCCCGCAGTAGGACTCACGCAGCGCTCCGGTGCTCGGCAGCTCCTCCAGACCGCTCCGCGCTCCGCCTCTGCGGGCCGCTCCGGGGACTCGGCCGCTCTGCCACCAGACCTGGAGCGGGCCTCCGGTCCGCCCCCACGAGGCTCCGCCCCCCTCTCCCCATTGGCCACCGCCCTCGGAAAGTCCCGCCCCCGAGCTCGCAGCCCGCCTCTCCGCCCGGCTTCCCTTGTTTTCATTCCCCCTGTCACACGAGGCAGCGGCAACCCCGGAGTGGGAGGGGGAAAGTCGGAGGCGAGAAGTCGCAGAGGAAAGGGGACGGGAAGAGGGCGGAAAGTGAAGGGCCTGGCGAGCCTCTCTGTCCCCGATCCCGCTCAGTTCTCGACTGCTCCGGGCCGGCGTGGTATTGTGGGATCGCGGCGCCCGGCCCGCGCCGCTCGCCTCCGCAGGGGCGTCCACTCGAGAGCGCCTCCTGTCGCCCGTAAGGCTGCCCTGCCATTCCTCGGCCCCCCAACTCCGCCCGCCCCCCATCCCCTCCTCCTCCATCCTCCAGTTCAAAATGGCGACGGCGGCGGCGGCGGCGGCGGCAGCGGCGATGGCTCCTCCGGGCTGCCCGGGTTCGTGCCCCAACTTCGCCGTAGTCTGCTCCTTCTTGGAACGCTACGGGCCGCTGCTGGACCTGCCCGAGCTGCCGTTCCCGGAGCTGGAGCGGGTGCTGCAGGCGCCGCCGCCGGACCTCGGCAACGGGGAAGGTAAGCGATCGGCCCGAACGCCCGGCGGGAAGCGGCCCTGGCGCGCTCCGGCTCCCCGCGGCCCTCCCGGGGCCCTGCGGACGGCCCCCTCCAGGGACTGGGCTCCTCGGAGGCCCCGCTCCGCGGACCCGGGGGGTTCCCGGGTGCCGGGGAGGCGGGGCGGAGGCCCCCCGGGGCCACCGTGCCCCTCGGGGACGGAGATGGGGGCGTCGCAGGCCCGGTGCGGCTGGGGCCCGGGAATGGGCTTTGTGCCGGGCAGACGCCCTGGGGCCGGGCCCCCCGAGCCGCTCTTGCCCCCAGTCCTTCCACCTTGAGGTGGCGGGGGAAGGGGAGCGCAGGTTCCGGCCAGCTTTGCGCTTTCTTTCCTCCCCTCCTCCCACCAATCCTCCCCACCGTCTCCGGGGAGGCCGGGCCCATCTCCTCCCGGCGCCCCCTCTGCTCATTCCACCTGAGTGGGCGGGGGCCGGCGGACACTCCGCACTCTCCCTGCGGTGGGAACTCCCCCGAGAGACTCTTCTGATCCCCGGCAGGGCTGCTCTAAACCCCCCAACTCCTTCTTTCCTTAGGGAGATCCGCTCCCCCGCCCAGGGAGGGGGCTTCCCCCCTTCTCGCGCAGGGAGGGGAAATTAAGTCGGCCCAGCTTCTCCGCTCCGGGGAGGAGAGGGTTAATTTCTCCTCCTCCATAGTTTTTCTCCTCGCCACCTCCCCCAAAATAATAGAAAAGCATCTCCCCACTTTTCTCCGTCCCTTCCCCCTATCTCGGCTCCAAGGCTTAGGGGAAGAAGAAGTCACTCTTCCATTTGCAGGGTGGGGTGGGGTGGGGTGGTTAGCCTGTAGGCTGGAGGAGGGGCTCAGACGGCAGGGGAAACAGTTGAAGAAGGTGCTTGTTGCTCATGTTTCTCTCTCTCTGGTTCTGCTGGTCTATTATTGGTGTTCGCAAGTGGTGCTCCTTCCACATAAGGCCACCGCGCGGGTGCAGGGCGCATGCTCTGCCCGGCCCCATTGAAACTTCCTGCTGCTGCCCGTGGTTCTTTGCTGGAGCATCTCGGCGCCGTGCCTGCTGCTTGGAGTCCTCACACACGGAGCGCTAACCTCTCCCTCGTTAATCCCGAGCCATGCCGCTCTTTTTCTGGTACTTTATTTCCCGTAGAAAAGGATCATTTGTACTCCGAACATTGCCTTTGTCTGAGTACAGCCCTTGGCAGAAGAAGAAACGTTTTCCAAATAGGTCTTTTTTCTTTTTTTCCCTCTCTCCTTTTTCTTTTGATCTGTGCATAGATGACCAGGGTGGACTATATATTGTATGAGGCGTGATAGCTATGACCTTTCTAAGAAACCAGAGTTGCTTTTCTGTTCTTTATGGAAGTGAATTTCCCTATATGATGTAGTTACATAGCTAAGGAAAGACCCAAATGTGAACTTCTTCAAAGTATTATCTGAAATGTGTGATATACAGCGTTATAAAGGATTAACCGTACAGTAGTTGGAACAGCGGTCAACTGTTCTCCTTCTCTTTCCTCTTTTGAGACAGGGTCTCACTGTTTCTTGTCTAGCCTGGAACTCTTAGAAATCCTCCTGCCATTGCCTTTCACGCGCTAGGGTTAAAGACATTCCCCACCATGCCAAACTCTACATCTTAGACTCTGTGGCTATAAAGTCTGATTTTTTAAAACTAGGAAATCAGAGGGTGGTTAAGTTACTTTAGATTAAGACTTAATGCAGAATTTCTTTAAACATCTGGCTTCTAGTGTATTAATTTCATTATCGAATTATATTTACATTCTTTTTGAAGGAAATATTAATGTGAAGTAGGATACTCTTCAGTCAGTTTTTTAGGATACTTGAGAAATAATAGTACTTTATTTGTCAGAGGGAGTGTGAGAACTTGGGGGGAAATTGATAGTAATTGCTTTTGAGTTTACTTGGACCAACTTAAGAGGCAGGCATAGGTTTTTTTGGGGGGTACCATTGCATTTTGAATAGCAGATATGCTTGCATTCCCTTAAATTTTAATCAGTGCACTTACTTTGTATTAGTACTAGAAGAAAAAAATTATTAGGGCAAGTTTGATATTTCTGGCATTGACTTTGGGTCATCAGCTAAGCAAAACTGGAAAAGAAGTTGGGCTAAGAGGAATCATTTCGCTCAGCCATAGCATTACCATTGATGTAGTTGCCAAGAGGACTGATAATAATACACTCTGTCATGGGGGTCCAAGAATAATTGTTAATTAATGTCACACAGTTCAAGACATGTGGCAAAAGGAAAGTCTCTCTGAAGGTGAAAGTTTTTACTGTGCAGGAAAAAGATTTTCAGAACTTTAGTGATGGTCCAGACAACTTATAATAGTAAGATTGCCTAAGGCTTTTGGGGAAAGACTTTGATATACTAGAAAGAGTTGAGCAATGTTTTATATATATATATATATATATATATATATATATATATATATATATATTATAGAACAAATTGTTTCATTTATATGAACCTTAGTTTCTTCAGTAGACAAAGGTAATGGCTAAGAGCCAAATGAAATGCTTTAAAAATTCTTTCATAAACCAGGTACTTGCAAATACTCCTGTACTACAAAATAAAGATTTTTTTTTCAGATAAAAGATACATGGTACATTTGTAATTAGGTTGATGTTTTTGTTAAATTGGAAGTGTATAGGGGTGTCTGTGCTGTAATCAAGTGAGTTTTGCTTTGTATAAGTTTTATTAAGAAAGCAGTTCTAGTGTCACTTAAAAAGTTTTAATTAAGCCAGGCATGGTGGCACACGTTTAATCCCAGTACTTGGGAGGCAGAGGCCAGCCTAGTCTACAGAGTGAGTTTCAGGACAGTCAGAACCACACAGAGAAACCCTGTCTCCAAAAAAGGGGGGGAGGTCAATTGTGTTGACAGGATAGTTCAGTGGGTAAAAGTACTTGCTGTCAAGCTTAATAATCTAAGTTTGATTCTTTGGATCTACACAGTAGAAAAAAAGAACCTCTTGCAAGCTGTCCTTTAACCCCTATAGGAGCCTTTTGGCTTTTTGAGATGTCTGTAAAAAGGCTGTACACACACTCATAAAATTAAAATTCTGACTTATACAGGTTTTGTTTTTTTCTAGTGTGAATGGCCCTTAGAATATGCCTTTGTCTTTTTCAGTCTTCTACTTTATCAACTGGGTTATGAAAAAGGGCTAGTTTAACACCATGACAGCACTTTGTTGAGATAGGGTTAGCAACATGGTAGCATTCTGTGGTAGAAACTAGTTTACTAGTTTGTCTTATTTAAATGCTTTGTGATCTTTTTCCTAAAAAGTTGTTTGCAAGCTGGCCATGGTTTACACCTTTAATCCCAGTGCTCAAGGAGGCAGAGGCAGGCAGAGGAAGGCTGTGAGTGGTAGCGTGGTCTACAAAGGCATCCAGAATAGCCAAGGCTGTACAGAGAAACTGTCTCCAGAAACAAAACAAAAGGAACAAAAGTTGTTTGAAAGCTTTATTTTGATACTGTGTCTTCAGTTTAAGGCGCCCTGTTCCTTAGTAAAAAAGGCCTTATAGAACAGAAAATAGAACCAGTGTCCATTCTAATTTCAAAACTTGATAAGTTGTTCTGTGCCACATGGTAATACTCCATAGATAATTCTGGGTTTTTAAAGAGAAAATAAAACCATGACAATTTTCAATGTAGTTTTTCTTTTTAGTTTTAGGGTTGTTGTTTTTGTTTTGTTCTGTTTTGGTGTCTGGTTTTTCGAGACAGGTTTTCTCTGTGTAGCCTTACCTATCCTGGACTCACTTTGTAGAGCAGGCTGGCCTCAAACTCACAGCACTCTGCCTGCTTCTGCCTCCCTGAGTGCTGGGATTAAAGGCGGGCATCACCATGCCCTACTAGTTATCTTTTAAAAAAAAAAGTTAATTGTATGTTTTGCCTGCTTGCTTTCACATGTATGTACCTGTGCTTGGGGCCCTTGGAGATCAGAAGAAGGCATCAGATCCCCTAGAACTATAGATAAAGATGGTCGTGAGGCACTATGTAGGTGCTAGGAATCAAACCTAGGTCCTCTACAAGAGCAAGGAGTGCTCTTAACCACTGAGCTATATCTCCAGCCCTAGAGTCACTTTTCAAATGTTTTCTAAGTACTTAATAAGTAGAACTGATGTTATTTCTTGGCATAAGGCTGCTCTAAGAAAATTACTGAGACACTGAAAGTACCGTGAACCTAAAAAGCTTCAGAATCACTACTCTAGAGACAATTATTAAATTTTGGGATTAGAAGGGAAGGACTGTGTCACTTTATATTACAAGGAAGAGAAACTAAGACTCTGGGCTAGATTTCAAGCACACACACCTAAACCGTTGGTGTTATTCAGACTGTGGTTTGAAAAAGTCTGCCTAAATTATCAGCCATGAGTGGATTTATAGTTGATTAATAGGAGAAGGGCATTCCAAATGAAGGTCTTGTACATTCTTCTTTACACTTCCAAGGTCTGCATTTAGTATGGGATTTAAATCCTAACAGGAAGTAGGTGTAACAGGAAGTATTACCTATGGGATATAGGTAAAAATAAGAGTGGATATTGACTTTGTAAGATTTCTAAGTGTCATGCCTCTTTGTGTGTGAACAGTATGTGGGCACATGCAGATCATGGTATAGAAACCAGAGGACAATTTTTAAGAGCTAGTTCTTGCATTCGAATTCCATTTTGTTGAGACAGGATCTCTCTTATTAGGACACTATGATGCCTACTAGAGCTTTGAGCCAGGTCTGCTGTCCCCACCTCCCATCTTGTTATAGGAGTGCTGGGATTACAGATGTGAGACATTACATCTGACTTTTTCCATGGGTTCAGGTTTTGGAACTCACTTTTATGTTCTGATCTGTCTCCTGGTCCCCACGAGAAGTTTTTTTAATTTTATTTTTAATTTTTTAATTTTTATTTTGTTTTTGAGACAAGGTCTTATTTTGCAGTCCTGGCTGGCCTGGACCTCACTATGTAGATACAGATCAAACTGGTTT